AAGAATACAGCTGAAACATGTTCTATAGCAGTTTAGATGATTATTCAGGTGTTCATATTTGTATTTGGCGAGATAGTTTATAGAACTTGTAATCACACAAATAAAGATTCTTGTTGAAATTAAATAACAATATATCTATCCTTTAGACCGACATATTCAATTATGGAACTCTCGGTATATTAACTTATTTTTTGATTCTTTCTTAATCCTCCACAGTGATAATTCTAAGAAAATTATAATTAATACCAAATATTTTTATTGATTTTATTAAATTTACTCAAAAAATTACGTGATTGTCCTCATTATTAATTATTTCACAAAAATGAAATACTTGAAATCAATTTAAATATTATTTGAATTAACTACTTTAAACTCTTTTATATTTAAATAGAGTAAAATATTATCAACCAATTCAAAGTATTTTCATAAGCATTATTTGCTTAGCCTTGTGATAAAATGAAACAATATTTTTGATTACTTAAATCAATCTCTTGCAGAAAATTTGAAGAAATATTAATAAATAATAAAATATAATTTGTATTTATAAATTATCATTGTTCTGTGTATTTCCTAATTTATATTTCTCTTGATATATCATCCCAAGTTATCAAATAGTCTCCATCATCACTTAATGACCCAAATATACTTTTTGTTTCAAATTAAATGGATTACTCAAGTTTAAATTGTCCATTTTGTGTCATTCTTATAACATTGACATATTCACCATGCTTATTCAATAATAATTATTTTGATTTAATATATTATTATGGAAAGAATACATTAGCATCTCTACCTTGATTAACAATTATATCTTTAGTTTTTGTGAATTATTTACTTAAACTATTCATCTCATAGACATGCATTGAATTACCCTGTTTAGGTTAAAATGTGAATATTTCTTTGTTGATAAAGCATAATCGAATCCAAAAAAATCAACATTAATTTTTTAAATTACAATCCAATTTTTATTTTATTCTGAATACTCAATTATTAAGATTAATTTTGATATCCACAAGAAATAACTTAATTTTATTAGTCAAGGAAACTTAATGAACAAACAAAATTTTGATGATCTTTGAGTGTTTATGAACAGATCCATTCAATTTGCTTTACCCTAAACTGAATAGTCTTATCATAACTGCCTGATATAAACAGATCTTCATTATTATTCACAATTAAACAAGTAATACTATAATTGTGTCCTTTAATTGTTTATGAGCAAACCCATGAATTGTTGTTATTAATTGACCAAATTGAAATATTGCC